ATAGAGGCCTGAGTCGTAGACTAGGGTCGGGTTGCGTCGGAAGCTGGTGCACTATGTGTGTTCAAAGGTTTCTATCACCCATTGGCAATGTACGGAGCGTTGCTAGCGGGAGACACTGTCCATGTCGGGAGTTGCCTACGACACTTGTGCTGGTACTTAGATTAGTTAGGTTAGTTAGCGGGAGACACTGTGCCTGTCGGGAGTGGCCTACGACATTCGTGTGCGTACATTACAGCGACACCAACCGACACGGACCAGTTTGTTGTCGTAGTTGAGATAAATGGATATTGATTCACATACTCAAAGAGAATACCAACAATCCTCATATAGCATTGAGAACAGTGCAAACGTCGGGAGCAAACCACGACAAATGTGTGTTGTCGCGCTATTCCTGCGACAGTCATACAGTGTCGCATACCACTCAAATCTGCCAACGGGTCTTCAAACACTCTCAGGTAACATAACCTTTGCTTTTACGCTGCCTGAAATTCCCTCTTACCTGGACCTTTTGATACAATCAGTAGGTCACAGTTTGTCGACCGTCTCCGACTGTCGGACGACCACGTCTCATCGTACCTCATCCACCCTCATGTCGCCCCGCATACCGCGCTGCCTTGTCTGGATTCGGCCTACCGACAACAAGTTCTCGGCGGCCTACCACGGAGCAAATACACGCAAATGGCGACCTGCAGTGGTCAGCAAAATCGACGTGTTAAAGTCGGGACATATTGCAGGTTTTTGGGTCGCTCCTCTCACAAGCAGTCTCAATCTGAAACTTGTGAGTTGTCTGTCTAATTACATCTCCACGTCATACAAGATTTTAGGTAGTGCGACGCAACCGCCTGGCGCGCAGTTGATTGGGGCCGCCCCGACATTGCGGTTCCCGGCCACAGTTACACCATTCCCTTCCGACTCCCTCTGCGACAGAACGACTCGTTCGGAGCCGTCGCAAGTCATGTCTGGGTTTCCGATCTTGGCCAATTCTTTACCGTCGCGCAGTGGAAGCAGGCCGTTACCGGGGGGCAGGCGAGAATACTCGATTCCGACGTCGCCGTATCCTCCACTCAATTCGCCGCGGTTCGCACGCAGTTGCGAGTATTAGGTACGTATCTACGACATAACGCGACGGCTAATCTAACTGAACCCAGGGAAGGGTGCGCCGTAGATAACGTCGCGTCAATATATACATACAGACATGGTACTTAGGCCCTACCGTGTGCAGTCGAAGGTGGGAGTAATGGAGCATGCCGCATGAAACATTCCTTCGATAATGCAGTTGTGCCACAGGGTTGTCAAGCACGGGTAGATGTGGAGCAACATATGGCGAATACAAAGGGGGTGTCTATTGCTTGTGTATGGCTCGCTCGCTGATGCGGTGGCTACGATTTAGGTCGTCAATATCACGCTAGGTACAGCATAATGCCTTGAGAAAACACTATGAAGAATCATGTTCACGCTGGTGAGGGGCTGGCATACACAGTTGCACCAGTGTTATTTGGATACATCGATCGCAGACGATGCGTCAGGAGGCCAATATTCCCTCTGTCGCGAGCTGTTATCGACGTTGGCTTGCAATGTCGCAGAACTCGACAGTTATCGACGTGGAGCCAGTATCATGTGAACCTTAGGCTTGATGATGAGTGCATTCAATTATCTGTCAACGCCGCTTATCCAGTAGGTGTGCACAATGTATTCATGCAATGATCGGGCAAATATCGGCTCCAGCGCTTGGGTCCACGGAACGTTGCGATGTGCAACTGAGCCTTCCAAAGTTCCACGTTCTGATGGACGACGCGTTCGGCCCGGGATGGTTTGATCGCCGATGAGTATGAGAGATACGCCAATTGGGGCGCAGGCATGCGATGGAAAATCTGTCGCTCTCTGCGCCAGCTGCTAAGTCTACTAATAGTATAACTTCCGACATCGTTCTCCGTTTTATCCCTGGACTACGACACCTGCGCACGGCCTACCTCCCTTCATCTTTTGCTTCCATCACCCTCCGACGAACCCCTTCAATGGTGGGCCAATCCTCCATTAGCGACCTACGTAACCACGTATTCCATTTGTCGCCCATGGGAGCCGAAGGTACACGCCAACGTCATGAGATCCTGGAAGATAGGAACCTGTTCAGTGATCTTGCTCCTGCTCCGGATGAGTGGAACACAGAGGTTTTCAATCGCCTTGAACGCACGCTTTGGGCAGCATACAACAGCCCGCTCACCTGGAGGAACTTTGAACTGTTAATTCGCTGTCACGTCCTGGTAAGCAACCAAAGCTGTCGAGATATAGCATCGCACCATTCACTGTACTCATACAGACTCCACCTTGGCTTCGGTCACTGAGGCGTTCTGGACAGGAGCAGAACTTTCCTGTTCTTCTCCTCGCCTTATTCCAATGGATCACTGTCGATCCCTTAATCCCTCACGACGCACACAACATTCGGTGGTTTCTGTTCGAGTATTACAGAATACGGCCGCGTGTCGTCTCGTCCATGGCTAGCCCTGCTGCACATCGTAGAGCATTTGCTCCGATGGCTCTCCGCTGGATATGTATGTCGTCACCTCGATTTTTTCTCATTCGCACTGACTTGTGTCATTTTAGTGAATGATCGTATTGTTGGTGCGTTGTGTTTAAATGTACGCGTGGGCAGTACATCATCGTGTTAAACGCTTGTCAGACGTTCGCGACCCTACAGACCTCGTTACACTGATTACCAATAGACCTGTACAACTGCAGGTTCAAGACGATGATAGCGGTAAGTTCTGACACACACACCATGTATGCCGATAGCCCCAGACACTGACATACTTTACAAAGATGTCGACATTGATTACGATCACGCCATGGGTTATGAACTGAGCGACTGAGACAATGTCGTTGCAGAGGTCGTTGTGTAGCACGTCGAGGGAATGATCGTAGAGTCGGGATTATCCGACAACGAACGTATGCTTGTCATTATCTAACCGATCATGTAACCCCTCCGGAGTCTTGCCCATTCTATGGTATCACATCATGTTTCATGGATTTTCTGTGGTCCTCGCACGGGGTAGGGACGCGTGATCTGAGAATGAAATATGATACATCGTAGTAGATTCATTGGAACTGCAATATCTGCCACTTCGCATGTAGGCGAGAGACACACTATGTGACGGATACAGAGGTATGAATCGACTTGCCTGCACTAGGCAAATTGTGGGAGACGTGCGTCAAAGTCATGGCAATTTGCTCGTGACACAGAACACCTCCATCAGGTATCACACAGAATGATAGAAGCCATGCGGTAGGTGTGCTTGGATACATGTACCAGGGTGCACGTTGGGGTCGATTCCGACATGATACCAGCTCTAGTCTACCTAGTGGATCATATTTTCCCCTTTAGGGTCCAGCACAAACACATGCTCCTTGATTTTCCATATGCGACCACCATTGACTCTTATACCATCTTTTGTTTGACGACAAGGGTATGCCCATGCAATGGCAGAGTTGTACCAGGGGAGGTCAGTCAGCTCACAATGCATCCTAATTGGCACGACATATATGCTTATCGTTGGTTTGTCGCGACGTAGCGTCTCCGACGAACCGACCATGCCAGCATCGAGCAACATAAATGAGGCGCCGAACGACCTGTATGTCAATTCTGATGCGTGAGTGCTCAGGTTTTTGTGATACATCTTGCATGCGACTCTGTTCACCGACCCAGGGGTGTGTATAAGGACATGGACATATACCCGTCTATTCCTACAGAGCAAGTGAGCTCATTCACATCCCTTCACAATGTAGCCTCGGAAATAGATTGACTAACTGGTAGCGCTAAGGGAGCTCCCCTGAACGAACAGCAGTCTGATTTCTTAATCGATTTCCAACCTCCAAACGGTGGACTCGCGGATGCCCTTCCAAGCTTGTCCATTGGTCAAACCTGGATCGGACCAATCGTCATGGGGGATCATCCACGCATTGAACTCTTTTTCTACGACAACATTAGCTTGTACAACACTAGTCGCACAGGAGTCGTTGCTTATTCACGTGAATAGCTGTGTCGCTCGTATGGTCTATCTGGAAAATACTAAAGCTCGACATCCACGGTTCTGTTACCAAGCCTTTGTACCTACCAAGCTATTAGAGCTGCGCTATAATAGCAACATCTTGTTATGTGATTCTGGAGTGCTTACTGTGCAGTGTTGCTCAAATCTGTTCGCGCTCCAAGTCTACCTTTCTGAGAACAAACAATAACAATGGTTCCATGGGCTACATATATCGTGTCCCATAGCAACGAATGATACCGCAGTCTATTGTTTAGACGGAATATGTCGCAGACCGCTGTAGGTATTGTCTCCTGCCCATGCCAGTGCTTTGGGTGGCGCATTGGAAATGACGCATGGGGGTACATGAGCATGCTATCAATCGCAGACGATACCTACATTTGCATGTCGCGCTGTGTGCACACAGCGGTGCTAGGTGGGCCCAGTCCCTGATGCTTCGTATTCGTTTCGCTCGGTTGCGCAACATCGTATCTCGAAGCGACATTCGCTTGTGATAACGAGTGATTAGCTTCGGCATGTGGGCGGCTTCTCGATCGCACGACAGATCCCCGTGAATCTCGGATGATCATAGTATATTCACCAATGAATGCTAGGCATTAGAGAGATTTGATTTGCACTGAAACATTGACATCATCGTATTCTCGCTGAACCAATCAAAATTTGGGTCTGGTACCAGTCCTGTCTCCGAGGCCCGGACTAACGTCTGTGCATAATGATTGAGTGTAAAGTAAGACCAGATATGAGTCGAGCTGGTTCAGCGCGGGCGTCTAGAACACTAAGAGCTGCTCAGTGTCCGACAACCGTCGCCACCTTAGTCCGACGGTAACGCGCTACCCCTCGCCCGACGCATTTCTGCACGCCCATAGTCCGACAGTGACACGTTATTCGCAGCCCGACACAACTTTGTGCACTGGCTTGTTATCCAGAGACCTGCTTCAATCAAAAACCCTAGTAGCCAGTATGTCGTCTGCGAAGCCGAAGCCGAAGACCGCGGGCAAGGATGGAAAGCCGAAGAAGGCGAAAGGTGTTTCCTCAGAAGACGCTCGCTCAGTAGACGTCCCAGACATGGTGTCTCCAGCGGGAGCCAAGGGGGAAAGTGAGAATACGGATGAGAGGATCATGTCAAAGGAGGACGCCGATATTTGGGATTCGGTGACGGTGCGTGCTTGGCTCATGCTTGAACTCCGAAAACTTATCATATGGCCTCTAAAGAACCAATGGTCGGAAGTCAGCCCTGCAAAGCTCCTTGAGCTCGATCGTCGGGCGCAGGACGCGTTTCTCGGAACGATGAAGTTCAACATCATCGACAGGAAGTCCATTTCACCACAGTTTGGGAAATACAACAATCGCCCGCTTGACGAGGGGCGCTATTCCGCCTAAAGGAGAATGTTACTAAGCGGCACGCACACGGCTTCCAGAGCGACTCGCACCTCTTATTCGCTGTGGACAAGGACCACTTACTACACAGCCCTGCCCCTGTCGGAGATGAACTGCTCGGGGATCGTCTCCCAGAGCTGCGCTTCAAGGAGACGATACAGAGGCCCGTTAACGTCGTTGCATTGGCGGACAGCATCGTCACCGTATGGCCAACGATCTCTACAATATGTGGGAGAGGAACTTGCGGCGCTCGAGGACGCTTCAGCCAAGTCGGACGACGAAGCAGAGTCGGAGGATGGGAATCAAGACTCCGTTAGGAGTGTCGCGAGTGAGAGGAGCAGGGAGGGAGAGCAGTGGAACTTGAGAGGATATGGCTAGGTGCAGTGGTGGGAGTTCGGTTATACGATATTCGTAGTATCATTACATTTCACGGGCGACACAGCACTCAGCAGCCTGTAAACCACATTCAGACAAGCTCACCGCGGACGATGAACTGGCAAGGCATTTGTCGCGAAACGATGCGAAGGCACGGCATGGAGAAACGTCGGAAGAGTCGATGATACAGAAGTTGGACTCTA